CGGGCGGCGCCCACGTGCTCGCTGCCGTCGCGTCGCGCCGCGCCGGGAATAGTCTGTCCCGCGACACAGCCGCGACAACTGTTACGTCCCTTGTGTTACTCCCGACTTAACCTGGAATAAAGTGCTCCTAAAGTTTAAGTTAAATTTAGTTAAGTTAGTGAAATAAAATAAATATATATTTTTATTTGTGTAATTAAAATATAGAATCAAATATATAGTACTAATGTATAGTATACTTTAAATGAACATTTTAATTTATTGAAAGTGAAAACAGCCGTAAGAAATTTTATACTAAACAAATATCGTGAAAAGTGCTGCCGTCAAACATTTTGGTTGTAACAAAGGTGAATGTGTCAGTTTGCGACGGTGCGTTGTGTTGTACGCTAGATTCGTTGCATTTGTAAGGATCACATCGGAGCTCGGCCGCTGCGAGCTCGGCCGCCGCGAAACTCGATATTTATTTAGAGTGGGGCGAATAGTTGGCTCGCTGGGCCCAGCGCCGGCGCCACTGCGGCGGCAGCGGGTGTGCGCGCGCGCAGGCTATGCGCGACAGACTCACCGCGCTGCTGCGAGGGTCGCGGCGACGCGGTGCTGACTCTGCCAACACGGACAAGCTGCATAATGACACTTACGCGCCCGTCCTCGTGTTCTCTGACCAAGGTATATACCGGTGGTATCTCTGCAAGCAACTGATAAACGTATCAAATGGAAACTCAGTATCAACCTGTCAAGAAGTGCAGTAGCTTCCTTAGATAAAGCAACGTTCTTGAGCTGCCATCAAGAGCTGTAGAAGTAACAGCAATTGTTGTTGTTGTAGAAGTGACCTACACCTATCCGCCTATATGCATATATCCATATCGTCTTATGAGCTTCCGGCCTAATCACTATTCTGTTACTCACTGGAAGATGATCTAAGACATGTTTAAAATGGGAAGATAATGAAAAATTCATTCTATTATTTCCAAGAACTCTGTTTATAATACAATGTGTAATAAAGTACAATTCTAATGTTACTTTTTGTCGCACCTAAACAATGGCACAGTCTGTGGTCGGGCGTTTATAGTCCTTGGATTCAAATACTAACGCGAAAAATAAACTCAATTTATTATTGTAGTTTAAAAGAAAGACGACATAAAGGTTGTTGATCTGGAATGTTTTCTTTTCACGAATTAACGTTTCGGGTAACTTTGATTTTCACGAAACTTACCATTTTTTAGTGAATAAATTGAGAATTAAATAGGAACTGTTTTTTCAAAATGCTAACTTCATTACTGAAACTAAAATAAAACTAAGTAAACTATAATATTCTACAAAAACAACTGAATTTGCATCCTTAAATTGCATTTCGAAATGCGTACAATTAATTAACTGGCAGTTACAATGTCCGCTGGCAACATTGGATGATATCCAGATGTCTAGAGCGCCCTTAATTAATCTTTCTTATTTTTCACAACACGGCTGACATGATTTACAAAGAGATAAATGACAATTGATAGATTAAACGGCACTTAAAACATATTAATCGAGAATATCTACAAACTCTAACACTCGTGGTCGAATTTAATAAAATAATAAGTAAGTAATAAGTTTATAGACTATAGATCAATTTTGCGAGAATACCAAATTAGTTGGAAGTTTAGAAACGGAGATTATGCTAAAAAATGTGTACGTGACCGAGATGTGCTGTTCAATGAATAAAAAAGCAGCAACCCAAAAGTGATTCACGATTTAAGTACGATTGTAATTACATAAGTAAATATGTAAATACACAAAAGTTAATAAATTATTACTATGGTTTTTTATTTCTTGTGCTAACTGTGTTTGTCAATAATTACATATTTGTTAGCACTATTGATTTGTGTAACAATTCCTATTATTTATTATGTAAAGCAATAAAACATAGCGTGGGTTATTACGATGTGTTCACGTGAGGGACGCCTTGCTGCGTCATTCGGACTGTAAATCTTAAACATATCTGCCAACAATTTTTAAACATTTTACAACGGTGCATGCAAGTTGATTTATCACGTTGTTGCTTTTATAGAAAACATCGAAAAATAACACTAGAGATTTTAGAAGAATACTCACATCAACAATTGACGTAAATTTCTGGAGTTTAAAGTTAAAAATGTCATTCAGGTCACGCTCGACTAAAGGGGCACGAAGCCTACCAAAATTAAAGCAAATAGGCTGAAGTATCGACTAGACTCAATCCCGCTAGCACAGATTAACAATGCAATATAAATATTATAAAAAAACGTACAAGTAGTTTCACAACGCAATTTTGTCAACACTTAAGTTTAAAATTCGAATTCGAATTCGTATGAAATTTGAATATGTAAAGAAAAAAAAAGAAAAGAAGGTTTCCTTAAACCAAATTGATCTCACATTTTAAAACGCAGTCAAAACAGCGTAGTTTGTAACTGAATCCCAAATGTTTGACCAATACGTCCAACAATGTTGAACCAAGAATATACCAAGGTGGTGTACGTGATCGTAGGCAGGCGTTGTTTTGATTACGTCGCATCCGGCGGTTTCAGGTGACATCACAGCTTCGTATATGACTCGTACATTGTAACATGAAACTTGTAACTGCGCTTGCATATTTCACGGTAATTAATTTACTATGCGCTTGGTAAATAGCAAATCAAATGATATTACTGACGTACTCAGAAAGATTAATCGGTTACTAAGAGAGACTTTAAATGCTGTGTTAGACATTTTTTTGAAAACGGTGTCAGCCAGGTAGACAAGTTTAACAAGATGAATAAGAAACAAAAATCTTAGGAAGGCGCAATTCCACATTGATTCAATGGTAATTTTTACTTTGATAAAAATATATTCATTCTATAGTTATTTTTTGGCAATCAAAAATCTTTCAGTTCTGTTGCACTGACCGATTAAAATTGTATCGTGGCTTATGTTTAGATTCCGTCGCTCGCTCAATGTCGATGTATCTATTTTTCGCTACAAAATACTTTTTTTTGCGTAACAATTTTTCCGCGTAGTAGAGGACTTGATAGAATTCTATATTACGCAGTTATCTGTATTTTTAAAAGATTTCTAGACTCATTTCATCTTAATCTTATATTCAGTGTGATAGGGTAAATTATGCACTTCGATGTTCAAAAGTCTGCATTGTTCTTAGACATAATCTGCTAATACTTTAAAATAACCTTATAAGTAAGCATTCGTTTTATGCTCTGTTATAATTTAGTTAATTAAAATATTTTTTAGTAACAGAATGAAAAAATATTTAGTAAGTAATTCGACAGCTTTTTTGGCAGCCCTATACAATTAGATATTATTGGCATGGTATGCAAAGTACGCTATTAACGTCAGATATTACACTTCATAGAAGTACATCCATACGCCTTGTATTTGATCAATTTGAACTATAAAATTAATGAAGAAAATATTCCATTGGCGAATTAAACACCACGGTGTAGAAACAATGTAGCAACACCATGACGTCTAAATATGACTTCGGGGCTTTAGAAGTAGATTGAATAAGTATTTACTAAGCTAGTGCGTACTATCTTTCGACTACATCACTTAACATCAGGTGGAATCATGGCCAAACGTTGGTTTAATGAACATAAAACTGATATTTATTTGCTCCGGTTTAATTTTATAAAGCAATTGTGATAAAAATAGCAAAAGTTTCATCCGATCTTTCTACAAAATGAAATTAAAATGATATTCTCCCTACATATATTAGAGTAAAACATCAATTACTAATCAAATTGCAATTAATTCATCAAGGGCAGATTACAAACAAATTCGTGATGTAATAAAATATTTATCAAGAACGATAGTTGATGTTACTTCGCTGCACCGATCAATACATCGCTCTTCTTGTCATTTGTCCTTGTATCGATTTTACTACTTCAATTTATTCATAGATTTTTTGAAAACCAGCAATTTAAACGTTAGTATCCACTAGATACGCTACGGCATACATGTACCTATTAGTCGTCGCGGAATGACTTCAACTTCACGCTAGTCTTCAGCATGATCTTGTATTGCATAGTAGGAGCCGGCTCTTTCGAACAGCAATTAATATTGCTCCACACTCTATCAATGTTTCAAGGCTCGTGGCCATCTTCTAACAAGTGTTGTTTTTAAGATCTTAAACGTCACAGCAATCGGAACTTTTTTTTTTTATTTCATCAGGAAAGATTTATATCTAAAACAATACGATTAGAATGTGTAAAACAGTCTATTTTTTTATTATAATGTCTTTAATTTAACAATAATTTTGTACCAATTGGTATTCAATTGTGCGCAGAATAAAACGATTTGGCACATATCGTGCATTTTATCTCCTACAACAATACCGTCACAATGTTTCAGTTTAATTTATTGCTATTAATCGCAATGTAAAAGAGAAAACATACAACTATCTTTTAAAATGTGAAAAAACAAAGTTTCAAATCTGTATGTAAAAACTACAGTTACATAAAAGAGGTGTTTGTCAACTAGTTGACAGTTGTTAGTCGTTGAACAACTGTCAACTAGTTGACAGTTGTTAGTCGTTGAACAACTAGTTAAATAGTTCCTCAATGTTACTGCATACGGCAGTTAAAACCAATCATCTAGAAAATTGGTGTATCTGTCTTCTAGTTAGCAAACTAACTGTAATTAGATGCACATGAGTGACCTTACACGGCCGACTGATATACAAAGCTTCACAGTTTCATAAACGTGTTGTCGTTTGAATTCTAACCATACATTATCAATGAAATTCGTATTCGTCTACTCTGTACAAAGATTTGGGTAGTATTAAAAGAGAAAAAATGTACATCTGCATCCAACTTTTTAAGGATTACCACACATTGCCTTTCTCATCATAACATAGCAAAGTCCTGCATGAAAATTCCATTTTTGTGAATCTTTCAAAGCTTCGGTCCAACTTCATAAACATTACCACTTATTTCTAGTCGTGTTTAGCAATAAGGTTGTATTGCAAGTAGTATAAAGTTCTGATTTGTCTGCAGGGAGCACACGCGAAAGCGGAGTGGTGTGGCGCGGCTGCTCCGGCGGCTGCGACGCCGAGGATGGAGCGGCGGGCGCGCTCACCGACGGGAACCTCAACCCAGGAGACAAGGTACGCTATAACAGCAAGCGACCCCTTGGTTTCACTAAAGAAGCTGACAGATCGCTGCCCATAGACATCATCAAAGAGTTGTCGATTTTATAATTATTTCGGAATAACATTTTATCATATTATTATTATTCTAGAATCTTGACAGAAACTTAAATTGCATCTTTTGAACGATTTAAATTGCGTCTTTTGAACGTAATTTTTAATTCCAGCTAAGCAGAGCATTTACTCAGGTGACATTTTTTCCCTTTTGCAACTGTAAGCAATTAATCTAGTTCAAGCAAACAAGATTGCATAGGTTTCTTACATCAGCAAAGTTTTAAATAATATTTATTATGATTAATACAGAAAAATTACAATACAATTTAACATGCAATTTTTGAAGATAAGTAAAATAAATGTATATTTTACAATGTTAGCGTAATCAGAATCAGTAAAGTTAACCTTAAAATGAAAATGAAAAGAACAAGGAACTTTTGTACAATCTTGTTAGGAGATAGTTAATTCGTTGTTCTTTTTTCATAAATATTAAGATAAGATCGTAGAAGCTTCTAGAACATACATTGGTGATCGAAGTAGCGTTGAACATATTACCGTTTAACAACCTCAAAACCAAAGTGTTGCTTGAATCTACTCGAAATTTTCTATTGTAAAGTCGTAAGCGATAGTTAAATAAAAAACTCCACAAAGACACTTACATCGTGATACTTGAAAGTAACAAGCACTCAGTTGTTTGTAGAACAGCCATCTAAGACAATAGATTAAAACTTAGAGCTTTTATAAGCTTTATGCTAAGTACTTAAGTACTCTTAACTTGAAATGTTTGCTAATGCTGGCGGTGTCGTTTACTTTATATCTTAGTTGTGTTCTTGAAAAGAGATGTTCTTTCTTGATGTCAAAATGTCTGTTGATTTTGTATTTTTTAATTTAAGTTCTACTAGTACTGCAATGAACCCTAGGTCATATACGAGGTTGTCTAGTTTAAATGTAAGTATTGTATAGAAGAAGAAGAAGAAGAAGAAGAAGAAGAAGAGATGTAATGTAAGATAAAAATGTAAGTTGTTGTAATGTTCAGTTGGAGGGGTCGGGCGCAGCTCCGGACGACCCTGTTCACCTCAAGAGACGGGTGGGACTCTTCAGTGGGGTGGCTCTAATCGTCGGCACCATGATAGGTAACTTCATAACATTTCCAACTTCATTATCCTGGCTTTTCGAAAAAAAAACAGTTATATTTCAAAGATGAGGATGAATGAAATGAATTAAATGATAGATATTTTTCACCTTGAATTGTTAAAGGCAGAATTTTTAGTAGTACATTTTTTTATTTTACTTGCAAAATTTGTAAATTAACACATCAGGTAATCCATCATTGATATTCAACAGTTAAAAAAAATCAACCAAACATGTCAGACGTGCCAAGTTTCGGCAAATCTCAATTTCTTTCTCATTGTAAATGGTAACGATAGAAAAAATATTGTTTAACATCCAGAGAACCTATTTATAAAGTTGTCCGTGGCGAAAATAGAAAGGCCATCGTATCTGAATCGCAAACTTACGTTATCGTCGGCGGTCAAAACGACCTGACGCCTTTCGTCGTACGTCGTCTATTTGGCTTTGGTTGTTCTAATTACGTAATGAAGCATATGATGTCCAAAATTACATTGTTACGGTCTAACGCTTCTTGTTAGTAACTTGTAGCTCTCATTTTCAAACATTTCTTGTTTAATTGTACTAAGAAAAAAGCATAAATATAATAAATGGAATATGAACTAACATAATGTTCTTATAGAAACAGGTAAATCTTCTGAGTTGTTATTAAAAGATATAAACCTCAGAAATGTTTTTCACGAATGTAAATCTGATATTATTCAGGATTTCACAAGGTTAGTTATATGAAAGACGCATGAACCACGTCATCTGTGTTGACGCCTATGGTAATTTATTACAAACACCCCGCGCCCAACACTACAACGCTAAAAACGGTAACACATTTTTGTTTGTGCTATTACTCTCTAGTTCAAATAACTATGTAATAAAATATTGCTTTGACACTTAATAAAAATCTTAATACCAAATTTAAGATTCATTGACTGATTTAGCTCAATTTATGTTGGGTTTGAAAATCTTCTCGTTTTTTTTTTATGTCAAACATTTATTTAACATTTTGTCATAAAATCACACATCATTATCTTGTAACTTAGTATAACATGCTTTTACAAAACAAAGAAAAAACTCTCGTGACTGCTGCATCATTTATTTATGTTTAACTTCACGAGACATTTTAAGTCTTTATTTACTTTTCGTGATAATTAATAGCCATAAATTGTTTAAACATTTAATCATAACATGCAAATGTAAATATTGACTCGGCATCTGTTAGCCGTGGGTGTGCAGACGTGATTAAAAAAAATTAAGATCATGTGCGAAGTCAGCCTTGACACAAAGTTTTTGTAACACAACATGCGGCGCTTTACAAGATTATTTGCGTCAAACAATTTATGTGCGTGAACATTTTTTATTAATATTTATAAAGTTTTATGAACTTAATTATTGATTCTATCTTAAAATTTAGTGAAAACTTCAATGCACGTAAAATGATATGAAAACGATTTGTTCCAGGCTCGGGAATTTTCGTCGCGCCCTCTGGGCTCCTAGAGTACACGGACTCAGTGGGCATTAGCTTTATCATATGGATGGCGTGCGGCCTGCTCTCGCTACTTGGTAAACAAACTATACTTAAAAGTCAATTTAAAATGTAATATATGAGTTAAATAGTGATAAGCCTAGTGCCGTTGGCGCACTTGAGTCGTAATCTACAGGTGGTTAATCCACGCGGATATGTTGAATTTCGTTTTTTATATCTTTTCTGACGTTCTTTTGGTGAAAAAATCAAATAGCAATGCAATCTGCATATATCTTCCAAATTCGAAAACTTATAGTCAACCAAGCCGCACTAGACCAGTATGGTTCATTGAGGTCAAACCGTCTATAACTTAGAGTAGACGCGTCCCTTGTACCCCTACAAGGTAGTATGAGCACAGGGCAATTAAATATTGATTAGTATAATTAATTAGTGATTCACTGGTGGTAGGTGCGCTCGCGTACGCGGAGTTGGGCACAATGAACACGTCGTCGGGCGCAGAATACGCCTACTTCATGGACGCCTTCGGGGGACCGCCCGCGTTCCTCTTCTCATGGGTAACTATTTATATTAGTAAACATCATTAAAACAACTTTATCAACACCGCATCTTTTTACAAAACAATTATGTATATTATTTTCATGAACGATCATTAGGTATCAACTCTGGTGCTGAAGCCGTCACAGATGGCTATAATCTGCCTGAGCTTCGCCAAGTACGCCGTGGAGCCGTTCGTAGCGGAATGCGAGCCGCCGAACGCCCTCGTCAAACTGGTCGCAGTTATTTGCATTGGTATGATTCTTTTACAATTCAACAAACGAGAGGTGTCGATGACGTATCTGTAATCTGTCTGGATTCCATCCTGATATGCATTTTAAGGGTCGACAATAATGAGTTCGGAAGGTTTCACATGTACTGTGTGCTGAAATTTAAACGATGTTTCATGTTGCAGTAATGATACTAGCAGTGAACTGCTACAGCGTGAACCTGGCCACCAATGTGCAGAACATCTTCACCGCGGCCAAGCTAGTGGCCGTCCTCATCATCGTATGCGGCGGCGCTTACAAACTCGGATTAGGTAATCATTTATATAAATTATATCGATCTCTTTGTACCCGAATCCTCAGTTTGTTATACATACATTACATGCTTAGAATGCATAAGTTTTAGCAGGTTTATAGAAGTTTTTAGAAATTCAATTTCTTAGCACATTATCTACATTATATCTATTTCTGACTCATTTTTGTCATAGGCCATTAGATCACCATGTTAATTTTATATACTTAGTTATAATTAAAATAAACAAATTGCATTAACTGACAATCATTAACATTGTTCATAAGGGTAGCCAGACTGGAAATCAAAATACTTACATATATTTGGGGAATCTGGCCACTCTGTTTATCATGATCACAACTAACACAACATTGAGTCACCACATTAGAGATCATGTTATCATAATGGGATGTAAATATATAGATAGCGATTGACAGCTGGTTGTGTCCGTATGGTGCAGGTAATACGCGACATTTACAGGAGCCCAACTTCGCCAGTAGCAAGGCGACTCTGGGCAACATCGCCATCGCTTTCTACAATGGCCTCTGGGCCTATGATGGATGGAACAACCTCAACTATGTCACAGAGGAAATTAAAAACCCATCCAAGTAAGTACGCCATATCTAATGACACTCCATCATATTAGTTTGTCTTCAGATCGCTATAGAGTGTAGATTCATTTCTGTAAAATGTAGCGACACTCAGTATTTTATAGAAATATATAACTTCAGCTAAGATGAACCTTTTCCAGCATAAGCCTTTTCGAGTTCTTGCCGAGCAAGTTGTTGTGTCCTACCTATATTGGCTGCAATATCATCAGCTACAAGTTAAAAATTGCTGCAAATGTGCAGCACTTTTAGGAAGGAACGCAGATGTTCAGTATAAGAGTGTATGTTGCAGGAACCTCCCCCTGAGCATAATAATCGGCATCCCGCTGGTGACGCTGTGCTACGCGCTGATGAACGTGTCGTACCTGGCCGTGATGTCGGTGAGCGAGATGACGAGCAGCGAGGCGGTAGCGGTGACGTTCGGCAACCGCGTGCTCGGCCCGCTCGCCTGGCTCATGCCCCTCGCCGTCACTATCTCCACCTTCGGCTCCGCCAACGGAACGCTCTTTGTAGCTGGAAGGTAACTTGCAACGTCAAATTAATTTGTACTTTAATTACTTCGACGGCAAAATTAACATACCAAAAATTTAAATACGTTCCCTGATTTTCTTTGATAAAACAGGCGATCACGTCTGGAACGATAGAGACAATTTGTTGTTATGTACAAATTAAACTATTTTTGTGGAACCATGTATGCGAGTAAAATATGTATATTTTTGCAGGCTGTGCTTCGCTGCGTCGCGCGAGGGCCACCTGCTGGACATTCTGTCCTACGTGCACGTGCGCCGCTTCACCCCCGCCCCCGGACTTATATTCCACGTAATTATTTATAACAACATTTACAAACGTTATCTAAATGTTTTTGGTATTGCAAGTTTTAAGCATTTACTTGGCATGGGATGTATACCAATTACATGTGAATAAATATTGTCAGTCGCTGATAGCGGTGGCGATGGTGCTGTACGGGACGATCGACTCGCTGATCGAGTTCTTCTCGTTCACGGCGTGGATCTTCTACGGCGGCGCCATGCTCGCCCTCATCGTGATGCGCTACACCAAGCCGCACGCGCCTAGACCTTACAAGGTACACGACACACTTACAGGACATACATGGAATAGAATCGCATCGTAAGTTCAGTTCTTAACATCTG